ATGATCTCAATCATAAGTAGAAGATAAAAACGACAAAAAAAAAAAAAGCACATAGCATTGGAGATTGGACTGGTGGTTACCATAGGGGAAGGGGGGAGGGGGGAGGGCAAAAGGGGTGATTAGGGTCACATGTGAGGGGATGCACTATAATTAGCTTTCGGGTGGTGAACATGATGTAATGTACACAGAATTAGAAGTATGATGTACATCCGAAAATAATTTAAAAAAAAGAATTTTTTCTTGAATAGTTACTGAATTTTATGAAACGAATATATATGTGAGGGGTCAGCTCAGTGGCCAAGTGGTTAAGTTCGCGTGTTCTGCTGCGGTGGCCCAGGGTTCAGATCCTGGACGCGGACATGGCACCACTCGTCAGGCCATGTTGAGGCGGCGTCCCACATCCCACAACTAGAAGGCCCTGCAACTAAGATATACAACTGTGTACAGGGGGGTTTGGGGAGATAAAGCAGAAAAAAAAAAATATATATATATATATATATATATGTGAGTATATAGATTTATATGTGTATTTATATTTAAGTATTCCAATATCCAAGTAATTATTGTGCTGTTGACTCTCAGTCATTATCCTCTTTGTGTGTGTTTGTGTGTGTTTTAATATTTGATTGTTATCTTCTATTTTGTTAATCACATTCAGTGGAAAATCTAAATTGAGGTTGCTTTTTTCCCAGAGTAGTTTGGGTGTGTTTCAGTCAGGAACTCGGGGCAGTATTCATTTTAATCCAGAGGCCTTAGTCAGAGTTTACCAACTGCTGTCTCCACAGTACATTTCCAGACTATGAAGCTCACATAGTGGCATTTACTCTTGACTCAGTTTCACATGCTGTAGGCTATTCTTACTACATAACCCAGCTTTATCCAGTAGCTTCCCATTCCTCAGCACCCTACCCACCCCGTGGCGGTGGAATGGCTCTTTGGAGATATCATCCTTTCTAGAAACTCAGCAATTCAATACAAAATTTGTATTGTGCAAGAGCTATTTGTTTTGTAGTGCAAGGGTCCTTTGGAGGATCTTGTGTGCTACCCTACTGAAAGTGACACCTCTAAGTATTTCCAAAAGTTTTGCTCTTAATAATTATTTGCTCTTAATAATTTTCTCAGGTTAAAAAAAAAACCACTCACAATATAAATCCAAAATACATGGAGATTAGTTTTATCTATAGGAAGCCCTTGGAAGAATGCACATAATATATGATATTAAAGTACCGCTGTATTATAACATCACTGTTATGAAGGAAAAATACTCCTGAATGTGAAGAGTTCAAATAACTCATCCATCTCGTAACAGTCACTCCATGCTCAAAAATAATATTTTCCTTGCAAACAGTTTCACATAAGTATAAATCTATAAATAGATCATTTTATTCTTTTGAATCTCTTACCTACCTCGAAACTGCGACCTATTACAAAATCTCAAAATGAATATGACTCTTCCTATATACAGGAAGCACTGATTGGGGTCTAAACTGTGCTAGATGCTACACTAAAAGCTGTGACAGATAAAGACATAAAGGAAATAATCCTTGCTCTTAAAGGGTTACAATCCAATGGCTTTCGAGTTTAAAAGTTAAAAAGAAAATATTCCAAAAATGAACCCTAAATTGTGAAATATTGTGATCACCTCCGTACACTTGTGCCTCTTCCTTTTTTAAACTCTGTTAGCAAGTCTTAGTGATAAGAGCTGGAGAGACATTTTGAAGTCAACCAAAGATACGTGGATGAGAGAAAAAGATTTTCTTTGAAGCTTAGAGTTCAAATGCAACACATATTCTGTCATAACATAGATTTGCAAGGATATATGAGGCAGGTAAAACAGCTCTTAGGCCAAGATTACCTGGATGTGTTTTAGACTCTATTAGCATTTTTGAAGCAAAAATAGATCATTATTGGGAAACCTAAACAAAGGCAGTCTCAAAGGCAAACTGTCAGTGTCCTAGACATACTAGGAGAAAAGAAATTTTAGTAAGTAGTAATTATCAAAACTAATTAAATATTGAGCTTTTACTATTTTGCAAGTACACTGCAAAATGTACTCATGTGCCTCTCTCATTTATTCTTCCTACGAACGAATACTTGAGTTCACAGAACTTTTGCTTATTTACTCATGGCGGGTAACTGGCAGGGCTGGGACTTATTCCACTAATAACTTCTCTCTTTCTCCCGGTATCTGGTGGCCCTTGGAATCATATCTCTGTCGGGAGGGGATTTATCAGATGTGTGGCCAATTTGTCCTTTTCTAATTCCATTCAAGAATTGTCCTAACCACATATAGGTTTCCTTACTTGAATTCTAAATGCTGGTAATGTGGACTTTGGGTATACCTGATTTGTGTGGAAGTGTTTCCTATTGGAAACCAAAAAGATTGTTTTACTCATCAGACAGGTGAATATTTTATAGTTTTCTTTTTTTGATTGCAAGAACAATAAGTATTAAGCTGAAGTTTCATTTTTCCCCCTATAAGTTCACTTATTAGCAGCAAGCTGAAACATCTCTCAGAATCCAAGGATAGGATCTATGGATAAATTATTGTAAAACTGTTTTTATCCAAAAGCCACTGAGAATCAAAATTGCTACTTCCATACTCACTTTCTTTGAATTGTCACATGGTTACTTCCACCTCTTTCTCTGTACCTTTGTTTTGTTCTGTCTTTATACAAACCGACTTTCTCAACTTTTCAAAGCACTTAGCCATGCCACAGAATTACATTTTCAAGCGTTAGGTACAGCTATAGTCAGACAGTAAACAGATTTGTTTTTTATTTGTATTTCAACTTCAAGCTCTCAGGAGAAAAAAATCTGAATTGGCTATCTCCAAATTTTGTCCTCTTCTACTTCATTCAAAGTGGCCAAGGTGTTGGAATCATGTGGTAGAAACATAGATAGCTGTCATAGGGGCTAGCTCTTTGCCCAGAAAAGGGACAGTATTCTCTAGGAAGACACTCTCAAAGATGTGCCACTATCCTATGTGGGGGATGTAATGATCATGTAGATATTAGATATTTTCAGCTACTATCACATTGTTTCGTGTTAAATTAACCAATTAAGACTGCCTTCTGCCAGAGTTCATGGCCATTTAGACAGTATATCGGTTTCTAGGGCCTGATGCTCCTAAGCATTATCAAAAGTGACCCTCTGAACCTTCAAAATAACAACCCAGATGCAGCTTGAATTCCCTTGGCTTATCTGTGTACAGTACATAGTATCTTAACTTCACTAAGAATATGGAACTGGAAAGGTCCTCATGATAACCTGAGTTTGATCTTCCAGGCAACCTATGGCCAAATGCAGCATTCTTCTACAAAGGATACTAATTGTTGGTAAGATGTACTTAAAACACACATAAACATGGGTCAGCCCATTGGCGTAGTTGTCAACCTTGTGCACTCTGCTTCGGCGACCTGGTGTTTGCAGGTTTGAACCCCTTGCATAGACCTACACACCGCTCATCAAGCCATGCTGTGGCGGCTTGCCACATACAAAATAGAGGAAGATTGGAATAGATGTTAGCTCAGGGACAATCTTCCTCAGGCAAAAAGAGGATAGCTGGCAACAGATGTTAACTCAGGGCCAATCTTCCTCAAAAAAAAAAAAAAAAAACCCACACATACACACATGCATACACACACAGATTTCCAAATACCTAGTTTACACAATGAAGCAAACGTGTAATAACACATCTTGTGCTTTTAGATACTTAGGAAAAATCAGAGCAACAACTTTCTCAGATTTACCACATCAAGAACAGCACTCTAGAATCTTTTCATAAAACAAATGGCAGTAACTGTAGAGTGAAATGATTACTATTTCCTGATGAATTTTAATGTTCAGATCAAGCAACGATATATTTATATGTATGCATTTTTACGTAAGAAAAGGAATGATATTTCTATCAAAACTTTTCCCTTAACTGGTGTGCCAGTGGATCTACTACCAGGGAAAAAAAGGCAAGGGCAGATCATTAAGTTTAGTGTGCATTAATTAATGATGCATGTAAATGAAAGCTAACTTTCTCCTACAACAGCCTCCCCAAGCACAGTTTTGTCGGTTTGAGCGAATGGAAGGATTGATGGCAAAAGAAAATATATACAATTGGTTCAGAAGCATTTAAAGTGATCATTTCCCCCTACTCTTTATTGCTTATGTTAAATAACTAATGACAATGGAAATTTAGTGCAAATTCATGGAGTAAAAATGTGTCTTTTATTAATACCAAAGCGATATGGGGATGATATTTGCCAGTGATGACCAGAAAGGAAAACACTTATAAATTGATGATAACTAAAACTTCTGTATCATAGCAAGTTAGCTAAACAACATATGAAGTTGCATTGATAAATGTAAGGCATATGAGAAAATGGAACCTGTATTATTAACTTCATTTCTGACATCATTGTTTGAAACTCATCTTTACATAGAATGCTCAAAAAAATCAATCTTGGATTTACAACAGATAGGGAAATGAAAATAATATTAAAATAAACAAACTCTTATACATATTAAGTACTTACACATATTATACATATTAAGATTTAACCAATAATCTTGCATTAGTTTTACCATACCAAAGTTTTTTTCATGTTTTATGGTAGTTTAAATGGAAAATGCTTTTTATAAAGAACTGTGAATAAATGCATTTATATTTGATGCATTAGTTGATTAAATATTTAAAAATTAATGAATTTGAATATAGATAGAGGATCACCACCTATAGAATATAATTTTTAAAATACTATCAGTCACTGAAAGGCAACTGAATGGTATTTCTTTGTGTTGGTCGTTTATTTCAGACTTTGCTTTTGTTGCTTTAAAAAAAACAGTATCTTTTCCTACAAGTCATCAAATCATCATCCCAGAATGACATCTTTAAAAACTGTATAACAAAGAAAAATTAATAAAAATATCATATTCATACAATCTACACAATTAAAATTACTACAAAAGTTCAGAAATATTAGATTTTTTTGACATCTCTTTCTTACCTGCTTGTGAGCATGGTCATATGAATTAATGTGATTGTCAAACTCCTGGTGCTTATAGTACTGCTTGTCACAGAGTTCACAGTAAAAATTGGCCTTCAGATCTTCCAGGGCTTTCGCTATGGTGTTCTCCTTCTCAGCGTAGTCCTGAAAAATACAATTTAAAGGAAGGAAGCAATTAGCTCTCCCCTGAGTTGACTTTGTTCTGACAGTTGTCAACTTTAGTATAATAACTAGAGTTAGAAATAGACTATAAGAGACAAAGAGAAAAATAAAGCAAACACCAGCAAACCAAGTTAGAAGAAATTACGAGTTAAAATAAAATAAAAGATTAACAGAAGAAGCCAAAATAAAAATGGTGGAAAAGGATAGCACAAACAGAGAGAAGGAAAGCAAACCATAGAAAGAAACAGAAGCTTTTGCTTGAACAAGTTCCAAGCTGTGTTAGCATAGGAAAAGAAATGAAAATTTTATAGCTATGTTGATTCCACTGTTGATTTTGGGCAAAGGCTTAGTTAACATAAAACTTGTAAATTCTAAACAACATCTAAAATGTGCCCCGTTTGAAGGGGTCCATACTGATGTACAGTATTCAAGCTCAGTATTTTTGTTTGCTTGTTTGTTTCCTTAAATATCTATAGAGTAACTTATTCATCCCAACTAGATTTCATCCCACTAATGTTTTCATCTTGACTCATATCAATTTAGGTTGAACTTTAAAGTAGTCTCTCGTCTTTAGAAAATGAGATTCTTTTCTGCAAGTTATTTACCTAAACTGAAAAGGATTAAACTGTGTAAGCAGATTGCTTTCATCACGCTAACAGTAAATAAAGATGGTTATACAATCAAACCCCGGAAAAAATGAAAAATGCAGTCAGTTATCATTAGCTTTCATTTACAAGGCATAAAATAGCAAAATGTTTGGCTGTAACTTTTAGGTTTTCTTAAATCTAAATTTACTTGCTATTTCATACCTCCTTAAATGTTAACATCGCTAGACATGAATAAATTTTACTTGTTGAGACACAGTCCAAGTCTTTTTCACTGAAGTGCTGATATGAAGAAAACCTAAATTTCAATCTCTACCATAGAATATATTATGTTACTAATTTACAGATTCTCTCATACTCAACTCCTTTAAAATTCAAAATAACTACATATTTTCAGGCCTCTTATGTGCTAGTGTAACACACTCATTCACTCAAGCGCTGGGATGTGGAGATGAAGTGACACAGTCTTTTCTATGGCAATGACAACTGTCCTTTCACTAAATATAGAGGCTGGAGAGGGCTCATAGTTTGAATGTTTAAATTACTTCTACAAAATTTAAAAGAGGTTTGTTAATTGTAATTTAATGAATGACTAATACTTTCCTTATATTATTGTATTATTGTACTACATATTTGTGCACACATCACATATCATAATGTTCACCGTTGTTTGTGTATACTCTGTAGTAATCAATAAGTACATTTGCCATAATCCATAAATATATTCTCCACTTTCTCACTTTAAAGGTGGTCATCTATTGTTATGTTTTATTAGTTTTATCAACTACAGTGCAAGAAGAGATAAATTACAAAATCAAATTGTTCATACATGATTCCATCAACTTCAATAATTGATTTACCATTTCTCAGCAGATTTGTGAAATATTCTCTTATTTTCTTGATGACTTCCAATAGGTTTTAAAAAAGTTAATTTGAAAACAAGTCATATAGACCTAAACTACTTTCTGAATTTTACAAAACCTTCAAAATAATACTTTGTGGATTAGCCAATTTAAATGAAACAAAAATTAAGTACTATGATTTCATGGCTAAAGTGTGTGAAGCAGAGATAAAATTCCAATCAATATGAGTTATATTATAATGGCAATAATTTTTGGTTCAAAGCTGAATTAGTTCTCAAAATAATACTCTTGAACAGCAATTTCTTTGCAAACTAGTTGATTCTCTCCATTAATTATAATTACAGTTAAGCTACTTCATCTCTCTAAATATTTGGTTATTTCTTATTATGCTGCATTTTTTCTTCCTAAGACTGATATTCCTCCAGAGAAGCAATAATTGTTTCCCACTTATTCTTTCCACAAACATAGGGAATTTTTGAGTAAAGCCAACTGAGATTCTTACGTAAATTGCATTCTCCAAAAATATTAGCCTTCACCCAGGTTTGAAGAGAAAAACAAATCTAAAAATAATAGGTAAGATTTATTCAGGGCTTGTTTAGGGTCAGTCACTGATTAAGAATTTAGATGTATTAACTCATTTAATCCTCATGAAAATTATAGAGATGTATATTCTGGACTTTTCCTCATTTTACAGGTAAGGAATGTGCAGCCCATATTTGAACCCAAATAATCCTGTCCATAGCATTTCATTACGTTTAAACACTTAAGCACATAAAAAAGTAGAGAGAGCAGTGTAATAACCCCCACATACCCATCACTCAGCTTCAACAATGATCAACTCCAGGCTAACTTGGTTTCATCTTATCCTATCCTATCTCACATCCTTTCCTCTGCCCTACATAGGTTTTAAGGAAATTCCCAAGTTCATCTAACGGTATCTGCAAATCTTTCAGTATGTATCTCTAAAACAGGACTTTTTAAAAACATAATCACAAAACCAATAAACCAATATCAGACCCAAACAAACAAAACAATAAAGAAACATCAATCATTTCTTATCACCAAAAATCCAGCCAATGTGTTCAAATAACTACAAGTGTCTAATATTTTCAATTAGTTTGTTCACAATAGGGTTTCACTAAGGACCGTATCTTACCATCATCTGATGTTGCTCAGTCTCTTTTATTCTATAGGTCTTCCCTTTCTTTGTTTTATTCCTCATTGAAACTTATTTTTCAGAGAAATATTTAAATTATACTGCACATTTTGAAAAAACTGCTCAGAACTATAGAAACATTACAAGAATATGACAGCAAATCTTCATAAGAACTTCATGTAAATAAAATCATTGCTAATATTTTGACACACAATTGTTCTCCTGTTCTATCTCTCTCTTCTTCTAAGATATTAAAAAAAATACAGTATAGCTACAGCTAAGGGTGCAATAGATTACACAGTAAGGAACATTCTGGGCTAGAACTTTCAAGTTGATATGAACTGTAGTAGAGAGTCAGTGCTGTATTCTAGAAAATGTTAGAATAGAAGGGCTGGTTATTGTACGTGTGTCATAAGGGAAAGGAGTCATATCTATTGCCACTGATAATACATTTTTTAAAATGTATGAACACAAAAATCAGCCCTTGTTAGGCGACATGCCTCGTTAGGCAACATGCCCATCGTCCCTCTCCTTCCTCCATGGTGGGTGGTACTGAAAGAGGCATTGACTGACATTATAAAGCACAATAACACATATTCAATACAGCCAACCCACTGCAGAAGGTAAGAAATACATTTGAATAGGATGAAAGAGGAGCACAGCTGCTCATATATTCTCAATCCCAAACTTTCCCCCTCTATCTGGCAAAGCCATTCCGTTCAACTATGCACAGAACTTCTGTAACGTGCCAGTGAGTGAGATGGCAGAAAGGGAAGAGGAAAGGGACAGGCTGCTTGTAATTAGTCAGGTCGTCCAAACCCACCGCGTTTCACATATAACTAAAAGCGGTGAAGGTTGAAACTTTACTTTAAGGAAAGCAGTATATAATTCCTAAGTTATAAAGTCAGGAATTTTTTAATATACATTAGCAACTGTGCAGCACAATACATTTGCAGATAGCAACCTGAAACAGAGAAGTCAATGGTTTATCCACAGTTCCAGGGCCATTCCATCCATTATATATACATCCAACATATATAACTATTTATTAAAAAGTGAATTGTACCAAAGTAGGGCTTGTAAGGGAGAAAATTTTTTTTTTCCAAAATGACGCATCTCATGGTGGCTTCAGCATAACATATATCAAATGATATTCAACCTCTCTTGAAAGGCATCATCGATAACTGGGTGCACTGGAGTAACCTTCCCTGAGGAATGTGAGCTCCATGAGGGCGGGGATTTGTACCTGTTCTGTTTACAGCTGTATCTCTAGAGCTTTTAACAGAGACCAGCATTGGCAGACACTCAACAAATAATATTAAAGAATATAGTAGCACTGCCCTTTTTGTTTTGTGTGTATATACAAAGCAAACAGAAAAGAAACTAGCAGCACTAGGTATATAGTATTATGAAAATAGTTGTGCTCATGCTTGGGATTGTGGTACCCCATCATTGGGGGAACACTTGTAGCACTAACACCAAGTTACGTCATATACAAATTATCGTTGCTAAATAGTAGTTGTAATCATATATTACATCTTGATATTTCTGCTAAAAATAGTCTATTTAGAGTAGTTAAAATTGCAAAGATATAAACAGATTGGGCTCTGTTAATATATGATTATTTTCAGTGCCATAAAGGAACATTTATATGTAATTAACACTTAAAATAGTTTGGAAAATCTCTCTTTCTCTCGCTCTCCCTCTCTACTCCATAAAGAATGAAAACATCCTTTGGGGCCAGCCCCGTGGCGCAGTGGTTGAGTTTCTGCACTCTGCTTTGGCTGCCTGTGGGTTTTAGGTTCGGATCCTGGGGCTGGACCTGCACACCAATCCTCTGGCGATGCTGTGGCGGCATCCCACATACAAAGTAGAGGAAGAGCTGCATGGATGTTAGCTTGGGGACAATCTTTCTCAAGAAAAAAGAGGAAGATTGGCACAGATGTTAGCTTGGGGACCATCTTCCTCAAGCAAAAAAAAGGAACAAAAACATCCTCATGATTTATATTCAGACTAAATTTTATTATAGATTCTTTAAAGAAAAGAAGAAAAAAGAAAGCCTTTGTGAAATTTTGATTATAATGGAAATATTAATCAAAGAAGAGATGGCACAACTGTTCCATCTTCTAGAAGAATATCCAGACAGAAGACATTTCATTTAGAAATCCATAGTTTTACTTCCTATAAAATAGTACCCATCTTCTGGGCCATATCTCTTGTTCCAGTCATTACTTAAGTGATTAGTTCTGAGACGGTCTCCAGCAGCTGCACGTAGTACCACTTGACTGCCTTTTGCCCCAGTTTGTGTCAAGACATTGTTCCTTTCTGGCTAAGTCCAAGGTTTTCTCTAACTCATGA